CTTTCAAAACCAAGCATTTTGAGCTAGTAGTTACAAGGGGGAGATTCATATCAGGGTATCATGCAGTTAAGTGCTTTATAACAAGCATAGAAAACACAATTAGACACTGTTGAGAAACGTCAGACATGCATAATGCTTACCCACAGATTGCAAAGTAGTTTACAGATATTAACCCTCACAGACCCACAGAGATGCCATACAAAATATTTTTATTGTGATAGCACCTAGGAGCCAATTGCACTAGTTGCTCTACAAAGACAGAACAAAATAATGGTCCCGACTCCAAAAAGCTTACAACCTAAGAATGGATGAATACTACACCCCAGTATTTCTCTTTACTATGGAATTCCCTATTCCTTTAATGAGGAACACTGCAGAAAATTAATGACCCAGCGTGCTAGATATCCTGTTTTAAATGGCACCCACTCTATTTACATTTTATATCCATTTTACAGATAGATAAGGCAAGGCACAAAAAAGTTAAATGACGTGATCAAGAACATGTATGCCGTGCTGTTGTAGCTGTGTCAGTCCCCGGATATTAGAGACTGCCCAAGGTGGGTGAAGCAATAATTTTTTTTACTGGACCAACTTCTGTTTTATTGGACAGAAGTTGGCCCGATAAAAGATATTACGTCACCCACCTTGTCCCTCTTGATCGAGACCACACAGCAAGAAAGTGGAAGAGCTGGGAACAGGACCCAAGAGACCTCATCCCAGTTGCATGCTCTAAAAGAATGTTACTTTGCTTTGTTATAGCAAAATCGCACGGAATTTGCCCCAGCTTATGTGAGTTCCAAACGAAGCCCATCTCGGAAGCATACAGTTTTAGTGCTTTTGAAGATGCGAAACACTATATAAGCATTTGCAAACACGGATGCATTAGGCACCTAAAAGAATGGCCTAATTTTCAGGGATGATCAGCACTCAACAATTCCTATTCAGTCTCAGGATCCCTATTTATTTGCCTAATCACAGGCTGTGGCGCTTGGGAAGGAGGGCAGGGGGGCCACCCGGACCATGGCTCAACCACTTTTTGGCTGGGCCAAACTGTGTGGCACTGCAACCCTGCACACCAAGTCACAATACCACTCTGTCAAATTTGGAAGGGGTGGGGATAGGGATCCATGGGCAGAGAAGTCAGGCTGATGCAGGGTGCAGATCTATTGTTCCTCACACATACACTTTAAATGGCATTCCAGAGCCCCTGTGCTTAAGTATGAGTTAGCTTTGACACCCAAGTTTGAAAACAGTCCATCTCTACCAGTACTATCTCTGCAGCATCAGATGATCCTCTGCAGAACTTAACTTTAAGAGCTGGTTACACTATAATGGAATGAATGACTTATTCAAAGTCAACCAACTAGAAACCACTGGATTCAGTGTGCCCCAAAATCAGCAAACGACAGCACACCTGGTACATATGTGTGCCTCCCGAGCTCCAGGGAACCCCACTCCCATCATTGCGCTTCTGTGGAGAGGAAGGGAAATCAATGCTATTTCTGGAGTCAGTTTTATTGTTTTCTCCTCCAACGTGCTGCAATACTAGAATTACTTCCAGGGGTTGGATCCAGCAATAACACAGCTAAGTGTGAAAGACACAGGATCCTCTGCTCCATGCTGACAAAATGCAATCAGGAACAATTAACTTTTTAGGGTGCCAATTTATGCACTTAAGTTAACAAAAGTAAGATCTGATATTTGCTTTCTCGCACTGGGGACCCTCCTATTTCACCAGTGCTACAACAGAGACACTGGGAGAGATTAAAGTGTTTTGCCCCAAGAACACACACTATGTCAGTGGCAGAGCCAGACATGGGAATCCCAAGTCCCAGTTCTCTGCTCTGCCTACTATTCTATATTCCCTCCAATAGATGGGAATAGAACCCAGGAGTCCTGACTGAGTCCTCTGCTCTAGCAATTAGACTACATGGCCTTTCAAGAGCTGGAGCAGAGCTCACTAGAAGTCCTGATTCACAAGCCTCTGCTCTAACCACTAAACCACATGTTGCCATGTGAAAGAAACTAGGGGTCAAATCCTGAACTGGTGTTAATTGTCCTGGCTCCACTGGACAATTTATACCAACTGAGGATCTGCCCCCAAGTAACCTGGACAAACAGCAAATCCTTGGCTCCCAGGGTCAAACCCCAAAGCCAGCCCATAGCCTCGAAACCTATTTCAATAATTTTAAACATTCAATTCTCTTTAGTGCTTTCCACAGGGAGCACAAGGAGGTGAAGGATTTTAGACTCAGGGTCCTGTAACGCATACAAATATTCCTTCAGTCAATAAATACTGTTTTCTAAATACATCCTCTAGCTGCAGAATTCACCCAGTGAATGAATGTGTTCTCGGCGAAGGAAAGTCAAAGCACAAATATTCGGGTCACACAGCAGAAAGCCCATTGTGGATACAAGGCTCCCCCAGCACAGGTTATGAATAGTCACATAACCAAGGGTCTGTAAGAACATTTCCCATCCAGTGGGACAAAACATAAACCACTTCTCCCTCACACACTTAAATCCTCAAAGACTGGAAACCAAGGCATTTTTAATTGCTATGAAACACTCATATTTAATAAGTATTTCAAGATAACCGACTCTGCAGACATATTGATCTTTACGTATTTTTAATTTATCTTACAGCAGAACACAATTAGGGAAAATATCACAAACAGCCAGAGGCACCGCAGAAACCACCTGAAGAATTACCATGTGCCAGGGGAAATTCAGTTCAAAATCTCAACAGGTCAAGGACAAGCTATAAATTAGCCTCAATTAACACTGGAGACACGACCTAGCAGTTTAGGGCCAAATTTTAAGTCCTGACCAAAAAAAAAAAAATCAGACAATATAATAAAGATTTAAATGTTTTTATTCAGAGACTTTGTTGGAGGTTGTATTTAAAATTTCCTCTGCAGGATTTAAATACTTCTCTGCATAGGACCAGTGCAAGTGACCAGAAACCAATGACAGTACAGTACCACTGTCCAAGTGATGTGAAATGAGAATAAAATCAGCCCCACCTCCAGAAAGTGGCTCCCTCTGCACTTGCTCCTCCATGTAAGGGCTGGGGGGGAGGGGATTGAAACCCTATTCTGGAAACATACAGGTGGGGAGAATATCCTAGGTTATCTCCAGAGAGATCTTTCCCTTCTCCACAAGGAGTATGTGCTGGGGTGGGGAGAAGAGATCCTTCTCTCTGCCAAGGATGCAATTCCCCTTATGCACCTTGACCTATGTTCCCTCCAGTCCCAGAGAGTGGGGGTGGGGGAGATCCTTTTCTCTGCCAAGGATGTAATTCCCCTTATACACCTTGACCTATATTCCCTCCAGTCCCAGAGGAGTAGGATCCCCCTATGTGGACAGGGATCACCTCCCCTCTCCCCACAGAGAGACTGATTCTCCCAGAGAGGGGTCTCTGTCCTGGTTGAGGCATATTCCCATTCCCAAGGGAAGGCATTAACCCTCTCCCCTACAGCATATGCTCAAGCCCTCCAGGATGCAGACCCCTTTGCACACCACAGTTCCCTCTCCCCTCAGAAATCTCTCTGATCCCTTCTGCTGTCCCCCAACTCCCCCTCCCCAGAGCCCTACTCCATATCCTCATCCCGTAGTCTCCCCAGCCCTGCTCCCATCTCCAGGGTTACTCCCCACCCTTGGTCCCCCTCCCCTGCTGGTCTCCCATAGAAGAGTTTCTCAGAAAGATCACCTCTCCCCGTCTGCCATCAGGCAGTCCCCCCATGCTCCCGATTTGTGCACTCCAGCCTATATAGCTAGAGATCTCAGGGCCCCAAATGCCCCCCAAGATGGCACCCCTCCCTTGCCAAGGCCCCACTCCTCCAAGAAGTAAGGGATTTTGAGGGAGAAGGTCATCTTCTACCACGTCCCCCACAGTCCCAGCTCCAGTATGTAATCTCCCCATCCCCCGCCCCAAAACAGCTCTCTGAGCTCAGCTCCACTGGGGCTGGTTCTCCTTCAGGGGTTCCACCCGGGTCCTCCATGAGAGGTCTCCTCCCCCTCAGCTCTCCCTTCCCCCTTCAGGGACCCAGTCCATAGGTGCTGGGGGCACTGCTGCATGCCCCGGCTTGAAGTGGTTTCCATCAGACACAAGTTCAATGGTTCTCAGAACCACCACAATACAAACTGTTCCAGTAGTCCCCCGCGCCCCAAGTACTTGCATCCCCAATATGCAGTCACTCTGTGTGGTGGGGAGGGGTCCACCTCCTCCCCCCCGTCCCCATCACTCTGGGCAGGGCGAGAGGTCCCCCTCCATCACTCTCTGTGGTGGGGAGGGGTCCCCCTCCACCCCCTGAATTACTCTAGGCAAGGGGCCCTTCACCCCCCCCGATCACTCTGGGCAAGGGGAGGGGTCCCCCTCCATCCTTCCCCTCCATCACTCTCTGAGGTGGGGAGGGGTCCCCCTCCACCCCCCGAATCACTCTGGCCAAGGGACTCTTTGCCCCCCCCCATCACTCTGGGCAAGGGGAGGGATCCCCCTCCATCCTTCCCCTCCATCACTCTCTGCGGTGGGGAGGGGTCCCCCTCCACCCCCCGAATCACTCTGGGCAAGGAGCCCTTCGCCCCCCCCCATCACTCTGGGCAAGGGGAGGGATCCCCCTCCATCCTTCCCCTCCATCACTCTCTGAGGTGGGGAGGGGTCCCCCTCCACCCCCCGAATCACTCTGGGCAAGGGACTCTTTGCCCCCCCCCATCACTCTGGGCAAGGGGAGGGGTCCCCCTCCATCCTTCCCCTCCATCACTCTCTGCGGTGGGGAGGGATCCCCCTCCTCCCCCCGGATCACTCTGGGCAAGGAGCCCTTCGCCCCCCCCCCCATCACTCTGGGCAGGGGCAGGGGTCCCCCTCCATCCCTTCCCCCGTCACTCTGGGCGGGAGGGGCGCCCCTCCCCCATCTCCCACTGCCCCGCCCCCCCAGGGTCACTCTGAGGGGTCCCCCTCCCGCCCCCTCTCTCTCTCCGCCCGGCCCCCCCGTACTCACACCTCCAGGATGCGGTCCCCCTTGCGCACCCCGGCGCGGTCGGCCGCCCCCCCGCCCAGCACGGCGCTGACATGCTGCAGCGGCGCGTACAGCTCCCCGTTGATGCTCCGCAGCTGGCCGCCCTCGCTCACTTGGCCCCGCACGTTGAAGCCGTAGCCGGACTCCGACTTGACGATGCGGACGACGCGGGGCCCCCCCGGCCCGGGCCCGCCCCCCCCGTTACGGTGCGGAGCCGGCTCCGAGCGCTGCAGCCCTTCGCCCTCCTCGTCCGCCATCTTGCCGAGCAGTTCGCGGCCGTCGCCGTCACGCGATCCCCTGACCGGCCACCGTAGCCAGGCCGCCGAAGTGCTAAGGGAGATGTAGTTCAGGGAGCCTGATGGGGAGCACGGCACCACGGGAAATGTAGTTCAGGGAGCCTAGTGGCGCACAGCACCATGGGAAATGTAGTTCAGGGAGCTTCGGGGCGCACGGCGCCATGGGAAATGTAGTTCAGGGAGCTTCGGGGCGCACGGCGCCATGGGAAATGTAGTTCAGGATCTCTGAGGGGCGCAGGGCACTATCGGAATGTAGTTCAGGAAGCCGGGGGGGGGAGGGGCGCATGGCACCACGGGAAATGTAGTCTGGAGAATCTGAGGAGCACAGGACGTCATGGGAAATAGAGTCAGGGGGGAGCCTGGTGATGCATGGCACTATGGGAAATGTAGTCCAGGAATATTGAGGGCACCAGGAGAAATGTAGTCAGTGGAGCCCAGCCTGGTGGGCCTTGTGGGAAATGTAGGCCCGGGATCCTGAGGGGTGCATAGCCCTATGGGACATTTATTCTGGGAAACTAAGGGGCACACGGCCCCATGGAAAATGTAGTCTGGAGAGTTTGGGGACAGATGGCGCTATGGGAAATGGAGTCTGGGATGCTGGGGAGCATGGCACCCTGGGAAATGTAGTCTGGGGTCACCTCAACCCCCCCAAGCCTCATGGGTGATACAGGTGCTGTCGCCCCCACAGCTCCATGGGAAAGGTAGTTCAGCCATCTGCCAGATGCAGAGGCTCATGGGAATTGTAGTTCCACAAGCCCTAGCACTGCCTCATGGGAGATGTAGTTCATAAGTAAAACCCCAGCCACGGTGTGTGGGAAGAGGTGGGCGCTCTGGGTTGTAGTTTTGCCTGGGGCCTGTGAGCCCTGACCTGAGCCCTCCCTGGGGTGGGGCATCATCTCTGACCGCACCCTCTCACCACAGATGGCAGCTGTCACTCATTGCCATAGCAACTGCGAGGGCACCAAGCCGCCCTGAGATGTCATCAGACTGCGATGTCATCATGTTTACTCTCATGACAGCCCATTGCATTGGAATCCCATCATGTCAAAAAACCACCATCACATCACATGATGTGGCAACAGATTATGATGTCATGGCCGCTGTGACGAAGTGCCACGGTGACACATGTCTAGGCTGACAACACATAGTGGTGTGATATCACCTGCATCACTCTGCAATGCCGTTGCTTTTTGAAATGTCATCACGCCCCCACAGCCAGGCCGACATGGTGGGCACGCATCCAGCCTTCGCCCTACATCATGTTGTGTCAGAAGTTACGTGTTACACCACGTTCCAGCTCCCACAAGTTCCATCAAAGGCCATTATTATGATGTATCTGTATTGCAGTAGCACCTAGGAGCCCCAGTCACGGACCAGGACCCTGTGGTGCTAGGCGCTGTACAAACACACCACACAAAGATGATCCCTGTCCCAAAGAGCTTACAAACTGCGTATGAGGCAACAGATCCTCCTAGCTAGCGTGGCACCGTAATCCTTCTAGGCTAGCCCTTTGGAAAGGCCCCCTCCACAGTGAAATGAGGCAAATGAGAAAGCTTCCAAAATGTCTGCTGCTGCTTAGGCTCCATTTACTGGAATGTACCCCCTTCCAGCACCCCCATCATCCAGAAGGTGGAGGTGCCGTGCTGTTATATCATTGGCTGGGGAGAGTATGAGACATTGCAACGCTAGTCAATTCCTTTCACTCTGATATAGTCTCCCTCTACCAAGCAGGGCAGGGAACCCCACGCTTACCCCACCCCAACAAAAGCTGGTTGCAGCTGATCCCAAAGCGTTTAGCTCAGAAGGTCTGTTCCAGCCGGAAAAGCAGCAAGTTCTCAACGAGAGAGAGAGAGAGAGAGAAACCCAAGGATACAGAAAAGTGGGTGTTGGCAACTGCTGTATTTACTGTCAACACATATGCACTAATATGGCTGAATCTCACTAATGTTTGCAAATGATGCCAGCTGCACCAGCCGGGGGAAAGCTTCCGAGGCTGCACTGTGTGGTGCATCTAGCAGGGGTCGCGTGCTACGCAGCATCAGACGTGCAGCTCTGAAACCAGGTAGCAATCCTGAACATGGCAAATAATCAGAAGCATCCTGGAGCTGCCCCGTTGACACTATGCTGCAAGCAGCGACCACTATGGAAACTCTAAGTAGCAGCAAGGCTAGAACTCAAAATCTTCCTGCTCCAAAAGACCAGCCCCACTGCATGTGAGTGAACAGAGAATTCCATGGTTTGTCATAGTCTCATCCCAACTCCGGCAGGGAACCGGGAGCCAGGACTCCTGGGTTCTGCTAACAGACAAGGGAAGGAAAATGGTCTAGCAGTTAAGCGTAAAGGGACTGGGAGCTGAGACTCCTAGGTTGTATTCCTGGCACTGCCACGAATGTCCAAGCTTGGGTGAGTCTCTTCATCTCCCCGCGCCTCAGTCTCCCTGTTGGGGTATGTAAGGGTTAAGAAAAGACCTGGGAGCCACTATCATGGTAATAGGGAGTAAAGGCATAGGCAGGCACTGTCTTTTTGCCTGATAGATAAAGTTGCCACCCCTTTCCCTTCCCTTCTGCTTGTTAAGGAGAGATAAGTGTTGCAGCTGCATGAGAAATGTGTTATCTCCCCCTTTCCTCCTTCTTTCCCAGCTACATAAACAAGCTCAGGGTCATGGCCCCTTCCTCCCTCCCCTATGAACTGTTGCTTAAAGGGAACTTGTGGCTACAGTTACTGCAAAGAAATGTGTCTTCAAGATAAAAATGTCTGTATAATATGCTTAATGCTGTAAACAGGGGCAGGTATAATTATATTCAGTATGTAGCTATTAATATTCATTATATGGGCATTCATATTATCAAATAAGGGTTTTGGGGGTGTTGTAGTAAATGTGGTTATTTACATATTAACAGATAAAAAGAGTGTGATGTGACTAATTCGGGGCTTACTCAACAATTGGGTAGAAAGGAACAAGTACCCCCATAAAGAAGCCCATTTACTCAATCCGCATCTAGGTCCTCCTGCTCATTCTTTCTATCTCTAATACTCCCCAGCTGTATAAATGGGGCTAACCACTTTGGCCAGGATACTAGAGCAAGCCCCAGTTTTTACAGAAACCCCTGCATCCTGCAGAGCAGACAAGGCCTTGGGTCTCTACAGTCTTGTCTGAATCATGCTGAAAGAGCAAGCAGGGTAGAACTTCGATGCATCTGCCTTGGGAGAATGAAGGGCCGAGTCAACCCTGAACCAGAAATTGAATCTCTGGCTCCAGGGCATCGGGGCTAGAAATTCAGACAATTTATTCTTGGTCCCAATTTTGGGGTCTTTTTCTTATATAGGCTCCTATTATCCCCCAGCCCCATCCCGATTTTTCACATTTGCTGTCTGGTCACCCTAACCTCTTTGTAACAGCAGGGGGAAGGGGGAGAACACAGGGAAGGGAGAGGAGCACAGAAAGTGACCCCTTCTGCAGCATCTGTCTCCCTTGCCAATCTCCAGCCCTCCCCCTCAAGTTCCCCATCATATTCGTCCTGTTCCCATCTGGGACGATGCAGGGGCTGATGCCAGAGAATACCTGCTACAAATGCCTTCCTGCCATAGAGTCCTTTCATTGCATTAACCTATTCCCAGACCCAGGTGACTTGGTCCCTTCTTTTCCCTGCTCTCCCTGACCTGTGGGCCAGTCCAGCTGGTTGGCCCCCAATTTTAGGGTCCTTGCAGAGAATGAGCTGGTGGGTGTAGGGTGAAGGGAAAGCTCAGTAGTTGTGGGGAGCTCAACTTCTGATTTTTTAAACTCTTGAGGTTGGTCCCTACGTCCCCTCAGGAACAAACCAAGAACCGCCAGCTTTATTTGATTGCCAGTTGGTCCTTCAACAAGCCCTGGCATGCTGGCTGTGAGGACAGAATCCAGTGATTTAGGGTACATCTACACTTAAAAATACAACGTAGCCATGGCAGCCAGGATACGTTTGCCCCAGGCGTACCTCGTATTGCAGGCACATGCAGGGTGGTGAGGTAATCCTACGGGGAGCTGCCTGTTCATTGGCTGCAAACTCCGAGGAGAAGACTTGCACTAACGGCACGGAGATGATGTCAAGGCACGGTGAGGCAGCCAGTGTCAGGGTGGGAAAGAGGTGGAAGTAAATGAAGGGGAGGACAAGGACCAGTCTGGACTCAAAGGGGAGCCAGGGGAGGTTGCCAGAGATGAGGGTGGCTACATCCCATGAGTCTGGCGAGCCAGGAGTAGGAAGGAAGAGGGAAACCGGGAGAGGAGGACAACACAATTTACACTCCCAGCCTGTGACACGATTTAACCCTCTCCCTCCCTGCCCCTCAAAAAACATCTGAAAACACTGCCCGCCCGCCCGCCCGCCCACCCACCCACCCACCCAGCTGCCAGGAGCCATCCTGCATTTTCACCCTAGTGTAGACAGGCTCCTGGAAGGAAAGTGTGGGGTCAGGAGGAGAGCAGGATGGTGGAAAGGGAATGGATAGCTCCAGGGGGTGAGCAATGGTGAGGAAACGGTCCACTATGCAGATCTCCTGGGGATCCTTCACTTCCCCTCTGGCCTCAGACTCACTCACTCCAGCTGCCTCATCATGTCACAGCAGCCACAATGGAGCTAACGTCCCTGGGAATTGTCACCCCAGTGGGCGGACAGGGGTCAGCCTCCTGCCATCTGCGAAACCAGGGCCTACAGGATGGTGAGGCAGAGCAGACAGCACCACCCAGTCCTTCAGCCTAGGTGAGCAGAGATCAAGACTCTTGGAAAGGGAGAGGAAAGGAGGCCCTGATTCCTGCAAGCTCTATCCCATTCCTCAGCCCTGTGCCTTCGCACCAGGGGCCCATGAGTGAATTGAGCCTGACAGCAAAAAGCCCCCATCACGAGTCCACCTCCTCCCTCTTGTACAGAGGAGGAAAGCTGGGGCAGAGGAAAGCAATTTGCACCAAGATCACAATCTGAAGCTGTGGCAGAGCCAGGGATTGAAACCCAGGAGTCCTGCCCAGGGCCTTAGGCCCATGGCAAACCCCAGCAGAAGGCAAAGGAAGGAGGTCTGAATGGAGCACCATGGGGACACTTGGATAAAGCTGGAACGGGTGAGGTTTAGGCAGGGACAGTAGATTTATCAGGAGGGAGAGGGAGGCTGAGAGACAGACCCCCCATGGAGCAAGGCCCAGCTCTGGCAGCAATATACACTGAGAGCACAGCCTCTCAGCCTCCCCAGATACTGGCTCTGGGCCCACCTAAAGCAAGCAGCATCCCTCCTAGCTACCCAAGGACGCCATAGCAGGCTCAGGCAGCTGTGTGCAGTATTCACTCCTCTGCGGTTTAAGGTTAGTTACTCCATAGTAGCAGCCAAAAGAAAGGTGAATGAGGGGTTAAAGGTCAGGGAATTAAAAGAGACCTAAAACTGGGGGTTCTTAGAGAGCTCTGGACAGCGCAAAGGAGATAAGGAATTAGGCCCAAAGTCTCAGCCTTTGGGGTTTAATTCTCCAAGCACTTTCTGATGCAGACAGTATCATCCCTCACCTCCTCAAGCTGCCACGCTCCACCCCATTACTAGCAGCATCTGTGTGGTGGAATGAACAGATCCTTAGATGTAGATAATGCAGCAGCTTCAGTGTGCTCTGGTAGACTTCAAGTAGGCAAGTGAGACGGCTTAGAAGATGGCCAACAAAATCCCCTTCACCGGAGAGATGTCAGCGTTCGAGAGAGCCACATCGAGGTGAACCACACCCCCGCCACTCACCCCAGTTGCATGTTCGTGACTCCAGCCTCCGGCTGCCTCAGATTAAAAAAAAAAATCAGAGAAAGAACTACAGACAATTAGATCCCTTGGTGACCACAGATTCCTTTAAGAAATTCTGCTGAGCTGCCTGGCCTCTCAAGGAGTGGGGAGGGAGGGAACAGCAACCCTGGCACACCAGGAGGGTTGGCTCCTCCTCGAGACAATGCGCAGGGTACATCTAACAGCAGTTGTGTGCACGACTCCCAGCACAGGTAGACCGACAGGCATTAGCTCTGCTCAAGCTGGTGCACTAAAAACAGTAGGGGGTTACAAGGTTGAGAACCCCTGAGTTTGGCAAAGCACAGTACGTAGCACACACATCCCCCCCATACACAGCACCATTGCCTCTGAGCACATCACCGACATGGATGCCTCTCTCCTCACCACACCTGTGGGTAAGGGAGTATCATCATTTTAGAGCTGGGAAACTCAGGTGTTGCACTGGGAAGCTGTCAAGAGCTGCAAGTTGAATCCATGGGTCTGCCGAGCCTTAGTGCACAACCCTCCCCTACTGCATTTAGTCTCCCTACCCCGAGGCACGTCCGGACAGCTCCAGAACTCTCAGCAGCCCAAGGACAGCGACACACTACCAGAGTCTCTGTCAGACAATCTGGATCTCACTTAATACAGAGATTAAGAATTCAACCACCATCATCCTGGTAAACCACGCAGGAGTTTATCACAATAAAAGTCCATGAAGTTGTTTCCCCAACCCTGCAAAATGAAATGCTCCCCTGCCCTCAGCAGCTACAAGATTAAAGACGTTCTAGGTACTGTAGGTGGTGTATCAAACTTCCCATGGTTTTGTACTTAGGCCCACTGAAGCAGTTTTATTTCACAAGCAACAGCAGAACAGGATCAATAGCTGCGCCGGTGACTGCATCTTCAAGGTAGCTTCAGTTAACAGTACATACTACCCAAGAAAAAATAAAATGAAAGGTGCAGGTGTCCCTGATCTGCTGAAATGAGTAAGAACTTGGACTATCACAATGGAGCAAACCCTTAAACAGAAACCATATAGACAAACATGGCTGAAATCAACAGGATGCTCTAAAAGTTACCCTCGAGAATCAGATCCTTTCTAGAAGATTTTTAAGCCAACATCTAGAAATCAAAGAACTGTATCATTGTTAGAGAACCGTATAAGTTGGCTCATAAGGGCTCTCCCTAAAACAAGCCTGATATTCAGTGACATTCCTGATGTTCAGTATTCGTTATCGGTCTTTTGCTTGAAGGGAGAAGAAAACTCACTTTTATTTCAGAAGAGGCTTTGATCAGGAAATCTGATAATCTGTGCAGAAAGCCAGCATCGCCCCATCCAGCTACAATGTGGTTAGATGTTGATAGATGTTTGGCTGCATGTGCATTCCCTCTGTGTAATGCCCCAGCCCTGCGCAGACACCTGGCACGGCGAGCGAACCGCCCAATGACCACAAGATCTGTTAAGGGACGAAGGCACCCAGCCAGGTTTATTGTTGACGAAGCACGATACTAGTATCCCGCAGACTCTACTGGACTGCTAATACATGCATGGACCATAACAATGGACCAGCTCAGTGAACAGTGGGACATTCTGCTCCTCCCTAAGCCAGACAAAGATATTCCCTCTGAGATACATCTTTTTACCATAATACAAACAAGTTAGTACTGCCCCTCTGACATAGTTACTTCCCCCAAATGTGGCTAGTTATCACTCATCCTTGTACATATTGGTTCAATTAAAACATCTCTATTACATACGGTCATCCTGACCGTATCTCCTAGGAGGGGTCAGTGTGTTCCTGTTATCCTTGGGAAATGTTTTCGTACCATCCTTAATATTGGGATGTGTTTGCATGAGTACTCTGACTAGCACTCCTTAGGAATGTGTATTTCTGCAATATTAGGTCTGTTCTTGCCAAATTATGTGAGCAGGTCCTGCCTCATACCAGGCCTCTGACACAAGGGCTTATGTCTCAGGCTCTCTTCCTACTACAGCAGGATTATTTGGAGTCAATATCTGCTTCAGCCAGTGACTTGTACTAATTGTGTGATACCGAGTTTCCATTTTCCTACTCGCTGTTCTAGGCCAATACAGAAAGACCGTCTGCCTCCATCCCCACCAACTGTCAACATTCAAGCCAATAAGGGTGTAAGCACCTGACAGGCTTCCCTTCTTCCTTTACAGCTGAGCACTATATCTGCCTGGGACGTGCCATACTGTGCTGGGCCCTTCCATACCTATGCATACTTTCCTCCATGGCACTGTATTGGTGTTCCCAGGGACGAGAGCCCTTGGAAATCTGAAGAGTTGGTTGGGGGGAAAAAAAATATTTCTGACACAGGGCAGCCAGTGCTCCCCCAACAGCCTCCCCCTCCACCCCTGTACGGGGCTGAGTGGCTCTCCTCTGCGAAGAATTGGATGTAGGCTAATCAAGAGTTATGCAGTCCAGGGCTACTGGTCTAAAACCTTTAAACATGCATCAGCGCAGGCTGCAGCACATGACTGAATAGCTCAGGGACGTGGAGCCATTCGCTTCCAGGATGCTGGTGTTAATAGTGTCTGAAAACTGTTCCCACTGGCTGCTGATCAGCGACCCGCATCAAATGTTGACATCCAGCCTGAGTCCAAATTCCCATAATTAATGTATAAAAACACAAATTCCACATACATCCCAGCACATATGCACTATTTACATAAATTTATTCAATCCACTACAGATTATTTGGATGGCTATGTAAGGCATATGGTTTTCTGCACTAAAGAGGTTATTTGATAGGTACCTTTCACAGGACTGGCTCTGCCTTTGTCTACACTAGTTTATAGAGATACAGGTGTCATATGCTGACATCTTTCCTCTACCAGAGATATAGAAAAAAAAAAGAGAAGACTGCTTCTTTTCAAATCACATACAAGTTATATAATAACTTTCAAGCCCGGAAGAAAAACCAGATGGTATCTTCCACTGAAATCAGGAAAACAAGCACGCACTAAATATGCTACATAAAACTATGGCATTAGCACTCGTGCCCGTTTCCAAGCTAATATGAAGACACTAATAATTTACTGAAATAAATACAAGTAGGAACTGGATAACCTCTTCATTTATACCTACACAGATCTGTGTAAGGTTCATCTCTATGCTCCAGAGGAACAGACTATTGAAAAGCCTTGTGTTGGATGCATCCCAATGAACAGCCACACGCAGCACTCGCTGTGAACACAGGAGGGAAGAGCCAGACCTTAAGAGGACATCAGTTGGAGTCAGCTGGTTTGGTGCGGTTTGGGAGAGAAACATGGGAATCTTTGTGATTTCAAGAGGATGATTTTGGGTGCTGATCTTTTTAAAAAAAGATTAAAAACTTAAGTCCACCATGGTTAGTTGCAATTTAAAAAAGCAGGATTCCACTGAGGCATAAAGAAGGCCTATAGTATCGTAAGTTGCTCATAGAGCAATACCAGGCTTAAGCAAAGGAAGAAATAGTAAAAAGAACTGTATCAGGGAAAGTCAGCCTAACTCTTGGGCTGAGTGCAAGTGGGTCTGTCTGTTATATACACACATGGGTTGGATGTTCCCCAGACACCACATCAGATACCATGCTCAACAAATTTGCTTCTGATGGACTCTGGAAGCCCCTTGGGACAGCAGTATGGAAAGGTCAGTTCAGTAGGCCTTGCTGCTCTGCCAGTCCCCTCCAGGAGACAGCTTAGCCCTTAAAGCACTACAGTTCTCTGGAGGCATTGCCCTCCATTTGTCCAGCGAGCACAGGGGGTGGCAGTAGCAAATGGTGAGTTTCTTCAGTTCAGAATCTGTGCCCAGGAGAGCTCATGTTTCCAGTACTCTGATGAGAGGGAGGGGCTTGGGTCCAAGGGGCTTCGCCGACCTTTTACTACAAAGCAAAAAAAGGAAAGCACTGAGGCACGTAATCAACTATATGCATTGGAGCTATAACTCAAATTATAATGCATGCCTATCAAACCTGGGTTCTTTACGTCCCCCCCCGCCCCCGCCCCCAGATCTATCTGGGTTATTATATGCCTCCCCGCATCAATCTCTGATCATCTTCCAAATATCTATGCACTAAGGTTGACAAGTCTTGTACCCCCTTTACAGACAGGGAAACCGAGGCAGAAGGATACAGTTGCTTTGCCCCTTGCCAGTGCCTTCCATCAGGGGTCTTGGTGCTTAACAGTGAATCAAGCTTCACAAGCACTCCCACAAAAAGGTATCTCCCCATTTTACAAATGGGAACATTGAGGCAGAGTGAAAAAAATGACTTGGTTCAAGGCAAACACTGAGGCAGTGACAGGATTAGAACCCAAACCTCCTGCCTCCCAGGCCAGAGCTTAGCTCACACATCCCTGTAGAAGAAGCAGCTTGGAGCTGAACACCACAAAACCTGGTCTTGGTCTTCCTCCACAGGTCAATGCGGCTCCCTGCTTACCTGCTCACATACTCAGATTTTGAGCGAGCTCTGGTGCTATGGCTGCCAGGGTTGGTTTGCTTCTCGATCAGGTGCTCAATACGATCGTGCATCTCCAGATTCTGAAACACAGACCAGACCAAGAGTTTCAGGTCAGTCTGGAGAGAAAGGCCAAAGCGGTGGCGTGGAGTTGATTAAGCTACCACCCAGTGAACAGAGTGCTAGGTCAGCAATTCCCATGCGTTATCAGTTTGCCACTTTCCTAAAAAATAGTTGTGAATAGCGCTGGGGGAACATCAAGATCACCAGTGGTACGTGAAATGTGCACCACAATTTGGGAACCCCTGTGCTACATTAACCCATTGCATCGGAAGACCACATGACACAATGCTGGATAAACAATAGACAAGTTTTACTCCTTGCACTAAGGGCCTGAGGTCAACCCATCTTTGAGCAGACTGCACGTTAATTAGGGGCCCAAAGAGGAGTCAGGGGCAGATTAATTTCTTGCGGCTTTCATCTAATTCACCTTCCTACGTGCAAACTGCAGCCAACATTGTGCTTTGACACTTATGATCCAAACAGAGCTCATGCCCCTGTGCCGCCCCCCAGTCAAGGTTTCATTAGCTTGGCAGTTCTACAAGAACATATGGGATTAAACAGGACTTTAACTTGGATTTTAGATTAAAGCAAAGTATCAAATAGACAGCTGGCTGCAGTTGCACCATTTCAGTTTTCTGCCTTCAGGTTCAGGAAAAGGGGTGACATGCACTCACTGCCCCATCCCCCTCTGCTGATTAGCAAAATGCCAAGGCACCATGAACGGAAGAGAATGGTTAACAGCTGCCAGCACAGGCTCAATTTTAGCCAAAAAAGGAGATGCATTTGCATTCCAGTATCAAGGACCCCGAAGCGCCGCTTTGCAATTTGCAATGTTACTATCTGGCCCATACATGCCACCAAAATAAAAGCTTCATGGCTACGGAAGCACGCTTTATGAGATCATGGACTAGACTGGAGTGGTGTCTGCTGCAGTAACGCAGCTTCACTACGAGAGAGACAATATAGTGTAAGAAAGTGGCTCAGCAGAAACCATCTAAACCTACAGACTTCAACCCAAGCATGACCTGTCCTTGCTTGTGCAGCGGGCACACTGCATGCTCAGGCTTTGCTAGCTTCTCTATCACCCCGCCTGGGTGGCCTTCAGTGCTTTCGAAGAAAAAGCAAAGTTCATTCCATACATTCCAGTTAGTTGTTCCAAACTTCAAAGTGACTTGCAAAATAATCACAGGTGACATTTCACTGGCATTTAAAGTTTGAGAGGTTAGCTCGTATCAGTTAAATGGGAAAGCTCTGATCAGTTAAAGCAGGCTTTATCACCCCTCAACATGCACTTTGAAAAAACAACTCCTAGAAAGGCAGCTCAGCCAATCTAAGGAAACTAACAAACATACCTCAGCTTCCAAATAGGCAACTCTCTCTTTGAGCTCCTGAATAATCACATCCTTCGCATGAATCACTGTTTTGGAATTCTGAAGCTGTAAAGGAAAAAGTTAATCAAGATGACTAAAGAAATCTCAGACATGCCTACACTAGACAAGGTATCTGGAAAGCATAATAAAACGAGGAGCCTTTACCAAAAAATAACATACCGTACAGGTTTTCTGTAACTTTGGATCAGGGAAAAGGAACTCTACGTTCTGGGCAAGAGAGTTCAGAACTTGTGGACAGTCTAGAATTAACTATTTCATTCCCAGAGATTCATTGATGGGCCCCACTACAGACAATGGGCCAAATTCACTGCTGGTATACAGGAGAGCAACTCATTTTATTCCCAAGTAACTAGTCTTGATGGGCACTATGGTCCGATTCCCATCGTCGCAACCATTCCTTCAGAAGATCAGACCTTTCACACCTGGGTCCCTCGGGGACCGTCATCACTTTGGAGGGCACCGGGATGGAAAGTGCATGGTGATATTTTCAAACAACTCCCTCTAGCAGATGATCAGAGCCAGGCTAAAAGGCTCTGTGTGGCATTCGGCTCATGCTAACTCAGACAGGAGAGACTTGGCACACTTTTCACTGCCTTGGTCCCTTTTCCTCCTCACACCCAAAAGGAAACATTGCCTTCTTCCCTTAAAGAGGGTCTAAAAATAGCTTTACGCCCCTCAGCGCAGATTCTGCAAACTCAGCATCTTTTGTATTATTTGCATTCCTGTAGCTCCAGGAGCCCTAATCATGGACCAGAGCCCCACTGTGCTCAGCATTGCACACACACAGGTGGGGGGAAGACACTGCCTGCCAGCACCAATATGTTTCCTAGCCCCAGCAAGGCGCACCCACCTGCTCAATCATCTGCCGGACTTTGCGCTGCTGACTCTTCAGCATGTCATCGAGATGGTGTATCTTCTCCCGCAAGGTGGCAACTTCTTTCTCCAGTTTGGCCGACCTAGGAAAGAGACATACGAGTGAGTCAGAAAGAGCCATTTAGCCTCCCCCGATTAGCAGAGGAATACGAGACTGAGCGTTTCACCACAGACATCTCACCACCTCCCCAGAGCGGTGTTTATTCTGCCATGGACGGTCAGTTATGGGTAGTGTCTCCTGTACACATGCATGAACCCCAGCCACTTGGCAGAAAAGGAGCAGTAATAGGTAGAGAAAGTAAGAGAGATGGGGTTTTATCAGATGATGATTCATGGAGCTAGACAGCTGCTCTGGACTGCAGATGCGCCAACAGTAGCGAAGACTGAGTGGAGCAGAGAAAGACAAGGTCTCAGTTTACCATTTGGATCCTGGAGCAAACAGGAAGCTAGTGGAGGTATCTGAGAATGGACTGATGTGGTCAGGTTTTGGATGTGGGAGATCTTTTTTCTAACAAGGCCACATGAGGACAGTGCTCAAATTATAGGGAAGGTTTTTGGGGCACAGCAGCCTGCAGTAGGAACAGGCGGATTACTCATCTTCTTGAAAAAACCCTGACATTTGGCAAGCAGCTACACCCGCCCTTCACAAGAATGCAAAGTCATGCCCCAGCGAGCTGACAGCCTCCCAGGCTCTCTCCCAAATTGATGACTGCCTAGAAGGAGTCTCAGCATCCCTGCCCAAGGCTGAGTCTCACCTATCCTGTTCGGCGAGCTTGTCATTTTGCAGGCTTCTCAGTTTCTCCAGCTCTGCTTCACCTTCTTTCATCTTCAGCAGCAAACTCTGATGTTCCTGCAACAGATCAGAGGACAAGTTACAACAGATGCTCTGGCCTCTATTTCAGGGCAGAGGCAAAGGATCAGGCTATGTGGATCTGTAGCACTGGGCAGTCCTAGGAGGCAGCCTTGGTTGTCAGCAGAGATGGTGACCCTACAGTCTGTATCTCATGGAAATTTAATGTTTGTGAAAGGAGACAAGAAAGAAAGAAATTCTCCATTCCCTTTACAGGACGGGGCAGCAGCAGTGCAAGTCTCCCCCACACTGCGCTCTACCACCGTGCTTCACCCCTGCCCTAGGCAAAGCCCCCAGTAGGGGAGCTCAGTCTCCAGGGCTTGTTGACACCTTAGCCCCTCTCCTGAGGATGCCAATACAGGTGCCAGCTGTGCAGGTAGTTATTACATGGACACCCATCCCCTGGAACAGGTTACCCAGAAGCCACCAACAAATGGGAACCGGCAGACAGCTGGCACGCTTTCTGCTGTAGGGGAGACACTTGTGCTACAGCAGCATTGCTCTGGAACTGATCAACATCCCGCACCTTACATGTTGCAAGCACTAAACCCATCACCCTTTGCAGACAGAGTGGTCCAGCCACTAGACCATTAAGCAGGTCCCATGTTGATCTCTAAGCAGTACCTTCTCCATCCCTGACATGAGCCTCTGCACTTCCTCCAGCTTCACTTCCTTCTCCATCATGCCCTCCTCAGCCTTCTTCAGAGCTGCACTGGTTTGCTCTATTTCTTTCTGGTATTGAGAGGTTGTCATCTGCCACAGGACACAAAAGAAAGATGTTTCTGATCCTCAAACAGTCAACAAAGACAATGAGAAGGCCCCACTCAGTGACTGCATTTTAAAGACATGATGGCATTTTTAGTCTCAGCAGGTGTATTTTGCTGAAGGAAGCCAAACAGCCCAAAGTGCTGGAGAGAAGGAACGATTACAACGCTTTGTCTTCAAAGCACTTCAGGCTAACTGATGCATAAATCCTAGGGCAATGAAGACAAAAGTGCATCATAAATGCCAGAAAACTCATCATTCAGGCATGCGAGTTATGGACGTTTTCCATCTTGTTTCAGATGAACACACTCAGGGTATGTCTACACTTGAACCACAACAACAGCACAGCTGTGCTGCAGTAGGGCTTCTGTGTAGACACCATCTACAGTGTACACCATCTACAACCAGAGCGGTTCTTCTGTCAGCATAGACACTCCACCTCCCGGAGAGGTGGCAGCTCAGGCAACAGTAGAGTTCTTCTGTCAACCTACCTCGGTCTACACTGGTTGGCTTAACTACATCACTCAGGGGTATGAATTTTTCACACCCTCAAAGAGGTAGTTTTGTCAATGTAAGATCCCAGTGGAGACCAGCCCTCAGCTTGCATGACATCCCCTAGCCCAGGAGTCAGCGAAAGAACCGGAACTAGAACTCAGGAGCTCCTGGCTCCCAGACTTGTGGGCTGAGCATTAGATGCTTCTGTTGTTCTGTAGAGAAGGATTCTCTCTTCTCACACCCACCAACCTCCCAGGCTTGTCCAGAAGGTTTAGCCGCCAAACCAACTGATTAGCATCTATACAACATCCATTTAAACAGGAAAATTATTTGTCAGATAACTAGTACAGCAGATCTCCGGAATCATGCACAGATTTCCAATCCCTGGGGTTTGTGTCAGGAGTGCCCCAAACTCAATACATTTCTGCAACTCCCACCACCCCCAAACTCTCTCCAGGAAGCAGCAGAGCCCTAGTCTGCACTTAAAATTTAGATCGACCTAGGTACTCCACCTGTGCTTCCCCACCAGTTAGTTACGTTAGCTCTTAGTCACCCAAACACACATCCCTGCTTTGGAGAGGAGGGGAACAAGCAGATCTCTGCAGGGCCTCCCTCTAGGAGCACACATACAGGGTAATAGCATTGCCTTTTCCAGCCATTTTAGGGCTAAAGGGATTTCTCTTAGACAACAATTCACTCAAGATCCAAGAAAGGAAATGGAGCCTGGAACCATTGACACAATGAAACTAAAACCTGAGGTTATCCCCAAACATGGACTCCCCTCCACCCCAGGAGCTCATTACATTTAATGCAGTCTCCATATACACTATGCCAACATGACAAAGCCACAGTTTTTCCCTAAAGAAAGGGGACCATTAATCCCCAGTGCTGGGGAAAGAAGCAAGAGAGAGATCCTGCTGCGTCCGCACCACCTAGCACACAGGAGCTGTCATTTGAAGTTACTTGCACTGCAAAACCTGCTTATATCTCTAAAGCAGCGTGTAAATTGTCACAGCTGAGTGAGTATGAATTCAGCTGCCACCTCAGAAACCCACGTTTCCATTTAATAAGTTACTTGATATGAAAACATGGTGGGGTCCCAGCTGCCCAGTTTGTGCCACATCCCTTCACCACCAAGACATCTTGTGATCTTGATGTAACAAGCTAAACATCTCTCAGAGGAAGGATTGTGTTGTGGAGAAGGCACTGGACAATTCAGCAGATCTGGCCGGGCTCAATCCTTGGCTCTGCTTCAGACTCCCTATGTGACTCTGTTCAAGACACTTCGTCTCTGTACCCCACCTTTCCCCATCCATAAAATGGAGATAATACTTCCCTCATTCACAGTTTGTTCTAAGGCCAGAAGGGACTAGTGTGATCATCTAGTCTGACCTCTTGCATAACACAAGCATCCTACCACCAGAACAAGGACTTGAACCCTGGGCCCTCAGATTAAAAATCTGATGCTTCACCATCCGAGCTATCTAGGCAATTCACTGCCGTACGCAAGATACTCGTATGCTTGTCATGAGCACTAGGATGTCCTACACGTAATTAACAGGATAAACAGAAATTGGAGGAGACTAAGGAAAATGGCCAAAGTGTCACTTGTCTTAGCAAGTGCTTTGCCACCACCCACTAAAGTCATTATGATTTTACCTTTTAACTAACATTACCTGGAAACAGTCATTGTATAAATCAAAACCAGTTTGTGAAAATTTCAATGCAATGTGTTTACTTACAGTTTACAGATTGTACATATTTAGTTAAGACTAATGGCAACCCCCGTGCTCAACTTGACCTTTCAACCTCACATGGGGAAGAGGCTGGTTGTGCTGGCTGGCGTGAACTAGCCAGAATTTTTTTTTAATCAATCATTGTTAAAAGCTACTTAAGTCCATTTACTCTCTGGGTTTCAAAACTGCCTGAACCGCAGCTCTTCAGAAGTGTCCCCCAACCACGCAGGCCAGCACAACCCCAAACTGGTTTCAATTATGATGTATTTTTTGTATTGTGCTTTCAACCAGGAGCCCCAGTCAGGGATCAGGGCCTCATTGTGCTAGGCGCTGTACAAACCCAAAACAAGTTTGAGTGTTGCTATCAAGAAAGGGCAATGTAGCTCTGATTGTCTGGGGAAAAAAAATGGGAATTGATGGTTGACAGATTCATGATTTACAACAGGGGTCGGCAACTTTTCAGAAGTGGTGTGCCAAGTCTCCATTTAGTCACTCTAATTTAAGGTTTTGCGTGCCACTAATACATTTTAACGTTTTTAAGAAGGTCTCTTTCCATAAGTCTAACATATAACTAAACTATTGTTGTATGTAAAGTAAGTAAGATTTTTTAAATGTTTAAGAAACTTCATTTAAAATTAAATTAAAATGCAGAGCCCCCGGACCAGTGGCCAGGACCCGGGCAGTGGGAGTGCAACTGAAAATCAGCTCACATGCTGCCTTCGGCATGTGTGCCCTAGGTTGCCTACCCCTGAGTTATAACCTTTAATCCATATCACACCCTCCCATTCTGCTTTCCAACACAGCTTGTATCAGCTCCAGAAGGACGGGGCTGGACCGTTTCAGAGAGCTCTGAAAGCTACGTAGCAGCATGCACTTGAAGCTAGCCCCTCATTCAGACAAAGGTCAAGATCTTTCAGCAGTTCAACACTGCTGTGTATTCACCTCAAACGCGGTCTTGTCGGACTGATGCCGCTTCTCAGCCTCCTGCAGTTTCGTGAACAATCTCTTTGCTGTCTCACGAATTTTTTCTATGTCTTCTCCTGAATCATCATCCTCCTGCAAACACAGCATGGAAGCTTTATTGGTCTCAAGCTGGACACTACCAGAACAGACACATTCTTTTTCTCTGCATGTGGAGGAGCCAATACTTTTGACCAATAGGTTACAAAAGTAAATACATAAAAGGCTGCAGAAGTTGCGGTAAAGTTTGATTTAGGCAAGTAAGAGAACAAGTTCTCAAATTCTACACTGAGTCAGGTGCCTGGGGGCCCATAAAAGAAAAAAAATTGCATGTGACTTTCTTAGGTCTCCTTTCAGCCCCCCACATGGTGTTTCTAGGATGCTGTCATAAGCCACCCTTAGGTATCTCAAAACCATCAAGTGAACGAAGTCATGACAGCTTAAACACTGACCGATTACTGAATCCTGCTCCCCTCAGTTATGGCTTTTAAACTATTGGCAAAAGGGCTGCAGCATTGCATGGTGCCGCTCTGTAGCATGGAATGCCCTTACTGCAGAGACAGGATGAGATGCTGTATATTGCTCAATTTTCTGCAAATTGCACTCACTTTCAGATAAGATGGACTCCTTCATTATCCCTGCATCCAAGAGACTTGTGTGAAAAGGAGCCTTGTGCTTGCAGAGATTTAAAAAGAAGGTGAGCTCGTTACTAGAGCAGCTGGTTTAAATGCATGTGAAAATCAGACCTGACTTCTAACCAAACCCAGATACGGCCAGAACAGCAGCAGTGAGCTTTGGAATGCAAGGAAGAGCATTAGAGCAGTTATAGGTTTGAAGTGACCCCTGAAGTGAAGATTTAAAAAGAAACCAAATCTAACTGCTCAAAATACAGTTTCCCTTTTTTTGGTTCCATACCTGATCCTCCAAGGAGTTCCTATGCAAGCCATCAGCGTATCGCCATATTCCATTCTGGTTTTCGAACATTACCTATTAAAAAAATTTAAAAATCAAGAACTGTGATCCTCCCTCAAAACTAGACTTAGATGTTACAGACAGAACACTTCCATCAGCTTTAAATCTTTGTATTGCTGTAACAGCTTTAAAAAAAAGGAATGTATTCTTTGTAATAGGTTTACAAAGAAAAAGTGCACTAGTGCATTTGAACAGCCAATGCATTTAGCTTGCTGAATCTTTCTCGTTTGCTTCTGCATATTTCTCAGTTCTTCCTCCAAAGAAGGTCTTCGAACAGGCTTTTAATCACCCAAGAGGATTTTATTTCTAGGCCACACTTTGCTGTTATTTTTAATCCAAATGTGGCACATCTTTCCTCAGGAAAGCAAGTGCCACTGCAAGTTGACTGAAGAAATGTTCCTGTTACCTTTGCACATTGCAGGTTAGTCTTAGCTCCTTGTCTGCTCTCAAGTTTACTACTTATATCTTCCCGCAGCATCTTCAAAGAACTTCTAGCCTGGTAAATGCAAGTCAATTTAGCTTTGTCTGTGTGGACAACAGTGTCAATTATTCTTTTCAATATACATCAAATGCACATGTAATAGGTCCCCAAAACAGGGTGTAAATTCATTACATGCCAGTGTTTGAGGCCAAACAAGCAAGCAGAGGTGTTTGTCTTGTACCAACATGCCACAAAAGTCCCTGATTTTACTGGATATTCGCCAGCAAGCAGCACTGACTACAAGTGTCTTACTATCCTTGTTAAAGTGTAAAGGACAGAAGAGGGACGTCCCAATATGTATGCTGATTTTTCACTATTGTTTAATTTTCTTTGCAAGAGTACTTTGAAAACTACAACAAACAGAAGTACCTAACAGATTCTTGTTATTCCATACATCTAAGCCCATGTGTCTTCAGCCATATGGCAGTTTACTGACAAGTACAGTCTTGACTTGCACCTGTGATACAGAATTAGTCACTAGAGAAAATGAATCCGGTAATTTTTACAGGGTCACTCTTCCAGCAATAGTGACACCAAGGCTGAAATGCTGATATTTCAGCATGTACTTTCTGCATCTATAAGCACTTTTCATACAAGGATCATCAGACACTTTTCTAGCTTTAAAGCTCTCAACCCCCTCTGTGAGGTATGTAGTGACTCACTTTAGAGGAGAAATCTGAGACACAGAAGAGCCAAGATCATACAGCAGGTCTGACTATGCTACGTGGCACATTCTATCTCAATGACACCAGCCACGGATCCAAGGTTCTTATAAAGCACAAGAGCGGCTTCAACTGGTTTGAGGTAAAAGGCTTCTTCTATACAGTTTCGGTATGGGTGTAACAACGTCTGTTCGGGGTGCATTTATTTATTGATCTACTTATATCAGGACAAGCCCTAGTGCAAACACAGTTCTGTGCTTATTTCTCCTATAGCCGTTTTCATCAGCAGATCTCAAAACGCTTCAGTCTTTTAATGTATTTATCTTCAACTCCCCTATTAGGTAGGGCAGCATTATCAGCCCCATTTAACAGATGGGGAACTGAGGCACCGATTGGCAAAAGGACTTTAAGATCACACAGGAAGTCCTTGAAAGAGTAGGGAATTAAATGCAGGTGCTCCCACATCTTAGGCAAGTACCCGTAGATCCTTCCTCATTCTGCTGGTACAGCTTATTCCCCTTCCCATACAGATAAGAGTTAAAGCACTACACCATGCGTGTTGAATAAGGCCTAAGTCACACCATTGCCATGACGGGCACTTACACCAAGTATACATCCAGCTGGAAGTGGGGGACACCCTGACCAATACACACCCAATGAGAACTCACTGTAACAAGTGAAGAGTGGTTAATAAAATGGAAATCCCAGAGACTTAGCACATGCATATAAAGATTAAAGCATCTTGATGGCTTAGAGATAAATTTCAGTGGCTCTAACACAGCAGCGTCCAAACTTTTCCTCTCGCGCCCACCCTTACCAGTCATGGAATGTGGCCCCCCCCCCCCCCCGACACGAGCCAGGAGTGGAGCCATGGCTGAGAGCGGGGGCATGGCCATGGATGGAGCCGCAGCCAGAGGCTGGTGGTAGCACTTCCTCCCTACGCCCCCAAGGGGGCTGGCCTGGGCTCTGCCACACCTCCCGGACACCCCTCCATGCCCCCCAGGGGCGGCACACCCCAAAAATTGGGGCCCACTGCCCTAACAGCAGGAATTGTTAAAGCCTTTGTGCTTTTCAACTAGTTTTCAATTAGTCCGACCAGGTCTGTAGTGCGATTACTGCAGTGAGGAGACAGAACGAACTATTTTTATTTTTTAGGGGAAATGCATTTTGACTCAGAAGCTGGAGGCCAGGATTCAGAAGGATAATATAGAATGGAGGCATACGAACTGTCCTAGTCACTCAGATGTTGGGCTCTCTAACCCAGTATCCCATCTCCCACAGAGGAAAGTGCAAGAAGCCCCCACAATAGAAAATTATGGACACAGTTAAGTTTATTTAAAAGCCAAGCCAGAGACAGACCAGCCTAGACCCCACTATTGCAAAATATGGAAATGGTTTAAATAGCAACCAGCTATTTCCCACCCCCAACCCCACAAAGGTCCAGTCCCATCACTGCTGCCAACTGGACAGGGAAACGTTAACCCTTGAAGTGTCAGACATCAGATTTCCTTAGGCAAAACTGCCTTTTAAGAGGCAGCTCTGGTGCCACGCCTGGGTGTGGCTGGGGAAAGCCTAGGCAAAAATCATGCAGTTCTCACACTGCTGACTTGCACTTTTCCCAGTGCAGCACTGCAAAATGCCTCGGCACTGTGGCAGTGTCAGGCCATGTCTACACTTACAAACGCGCCTGTGCAGCCATGTTATGCCGACAGGAGAGAGCTCTCTGGTCAACGTAATAAAACCAACTCAACAAGCAGCGTAGCTGTGTTGGCAGGAGAGCGTCTCTCCACCCCACCCCCACACACACACAGAGCCCTGTGCACACGAGCTCTTATGCTGGCAAAATTTATGTCCCTCAGGTGTGTGGGGCTTTTTTCACACCCCTGGGCAACAAAAGTTTTGCTGACATAAGTACGAGTGAAGACATGGCCTCAGTCTTGCAGCTGTGAGAATTCAGACTTTGGTTGGGTTAAGTCAACAACATATTGTACGTTAATTCTGAAACCAAAAAGCCACCTCTTGAATGTAACGAACTTCGCTTTTCAGCTGACTGACATTCTGTTCATGCTTCACCTTGTCCTCAGCTCTTGCTTTCAAGTAAACCTGAATCAGAAAGAAATACCCAATGAAACAGCTGTTCAGTTGCAGAAGATACAAACCAGAATGGTTACAGTCACAGAGTCAGGTACAATGAAGCATTGAGCTCTCAAAGCCCTCTAAGATCTTCCAGATTCCTTTTCTACCTCTAGTCCTCCTTTCATCAGGACATTGTAGCTGAGATTTGGACACCCAATTCCCATTAATTTTAACTGGCTTTGAAAACTTCAGCCTCTAGCTTGACCTTTTCAATAAAGTAGTTAATGATGGTTATTGCCATCAGTTTTTCCTCCTCTTTCCAACTAATTTTTATTCACTGCCTGGTTTTACATTTGGATGGTTTTAAAGCATTTGTTTATTTCTCTAAGCTCTCCCTTAGGATTCCCAGGGTGTGGAGACTAAACATTCCTCAGATGCCATTTTTGTTTCGAGTTTTTAAGAGTTCCAGTTTAAACAAGTTAATTCCATTAAACCTGGGAAAGTTACTCAGCAACTCTGCTGAAGTTAATTTACTGAAACAATGCAAGGTTTCTACATTTCAAAATGGCCGCTCCTGAAAGAAAACCCACTCTGCAAGCATTGCCACATGCTCTCCTCCCCAAGTAAGGACACCACTAACCACACTTGCTAAGATTTCTTGTTTGCATAGCCCAAATCAAAATTTTTAGTTTACATCTAAAATTAAACAAGATGAATTTAGTCTTAATGCATATTAGGTACCTCTAAATTAATTGTGCAAATTAATTATTCAGATCAGCTGGGAACCATGATTAACACTAACCTTGATGATCTCCTCGTGACCATCGCTGGATTTGATGCATTCTGAAGCCAGTGAATGGCCATTACTTGATCTGTTGGCCACCATAGCAAAGGCCCTTCCAACAGGCTGCAAGAGACAATGTAGTAAGACATTTAGATATTGAGATGATTTGTTTGCATAGCTTGTCTGGACCTGGCACAGACAGCTTTCTAGTCAGATCAGCATCAAGCACTTTATTAGAGGAATGCTGTGTAAAATGCAGTCTGGACCCTGTGGGACAGGGACTGTTTTTTAGTTCTGTGTTTATACAGCCCCTGCACAATGGGACCCTTCTACATGACAGGGGCCCCTAGGAGCTACAGTAATTAAAGGATGCTCCTTTAAGCGATTTGCAATGAGAAAATGCTTATGCAGCTCAGGAAATGAAGTTCTCTCTAGCATATCAAGCATAGCACAGTTTGACTACGATCCTTTACAAAGTTCTCTCCCCTCCAAAAAGTTATTGTGAACAACAGCTTTTACATATAAGCCAGAAGAGAAGAAATTTCTACTCGTTTTAAAATCACTGGTTTTTAAACAGCCCTTAGCGTGGAGTCTGCTGATAAAATTCAAAACATGGTACATAAAATTAGCAGTTCCTACATACAGCAGTATGTTCATGCCTGGAACACACACCTTTTGTTTCACCTGATCACGTCTCTCGCCTGGAAGGTCATTCTGCAACGTCAGCCGTAGCACTTTCACACTGTCCTGTAAAGAGGACGACAGACTTTAATTAAAAATGGTTTATGTTGCTCCATGGTTAGGTTTTAAAATGTCTTTTTGTATCCACATCAAACATTTGACACAGTTAAATACAAATCTCAAATACCCATTTACATTTTTTCCAAAGATCAGAGAATTGTCTGCACAGACACGAGGGAAGTCCTGCCTCTTCATCTCTTTGATTTTGACTACAGTTGATGTAGTAAAATAGTTTGGATTAAAAAGGGGAAGACTTGAAGTGAAAAGGAGATTGGACAGCACCTCATCCAAGCCCCAGATAGACCCGAGGAAGCACTGGTGGGATGGGAAAGCCGTCAGAGGACCTGGCAATGATTATACTAGCCCCCAGGCCAGAAGACCTACCCCTGGCCATATGTGATACAGACTGATCGTTCAGGGGTTGCCATAGATCCAAAGCTGCTACTGAAAGTATCCAAGTCACTGTTCTGCAGTAGTACCTTCCCTCAGATGGGAAAAACCCAGTGACACATTTATCCCTTCCTTTAGTTCTTTGAGACTAGCTAACTTCACTGCACTCTGCCTGGAAGTGGAGAACACCCAGAAACTGAAGATGGTGCAGAATGCATTTGTCCATTTAAGCCATACTTCATGCCAACTGTGCACACCCCCAGGGCTCCGCAAGCTATTATTTCCAAGTGGCACATAAAGGGATTGGCTTTAATCTATGACACAGGTTTGAGACCTGGCCACTGTAGAGACCACTCTGCTATCCCATAGCTGTGATCAGTATAGTCAGAGCACTCATTTTAAAAGGACACTGGTTGCAGCTGAGGCACTCTCCGAAGGCCTCAGAGAGGCTGGAAGAATGTGTGCGCCAAACTGAGAACACCATCTTGCTTTGTGAGCGCCATTTCTTATCAGGATCCCCACAACCCAGGAAAGGGGTATAGATGCAGGATTTGCTCATGGGAGTGCGCCCAAGAGACCCAGAGCTCAGAACAGTGACCAGATGACACTACCCAGAGCCAGGGGGCTTAGAAACACGTGGGATCCAGCAGTTGGGTCTGCTGAAAACCAACTGGATATGCTGCAAAGCCCATCTCTTCTCTGGAGTTTAGGGAGAGGTGGCTGGGGGATCTAGAGTACACAAACAGCCCCTTGTTGATTGCTGGTGGGGAGTGGGTAGTTATCTGTTAGATCTGACAACTGGGGTTAGACCAGAAGATCAATCATTTCGAAAATCCAGATCAACAGATGGGCACTTAATAAATCAATTTGCACAGTTAAGGTTGCTCAGCTCTCCTTCAATATTTTCCTCATGCACTAGGAATCAAACAATTAAAGTCAACAGCAACACTTCTGTTTCTCTGCCTATCCCAGTATAAAACTTAGCAACTCTTAATTTACTATTCTCCTTCTACAAACACCCAAGCCTTCATAGGCTACCATGCAGCCTTAAAGACACAAGGAAATAAGTTAAAAGTAGAATTCACTCTTTTAAGGTATGGTTTTCTTTTTGTTTTCTTAAAAATAGAACTTTTAACAAGGTCTCCTGAAAACAAATGTCAGAGATGGTCTCGGTATTCTTGGTCCTGCGCAGGGGACTGGACTAGATGACCTCTCGAGGTCCCTTCCAGCCTGCCATTTCTATAATTTTATGGCTCCAGGTCAGAAACCCAATATTGATATTTGTGTAAATAGAGCTGCTGTAATTGGACAAACCCACTGCCACGAAGACAGGTAAATTGCTAGATATCAAAAGCTATGATATGGTTAATGAGATGCCCTCAGATTGGCACAGTACAAGTCAGTTCTGAAATATAATCTTTACTCAAATTCCAAAACAGGAAGTTATACAAAGCTCTGTAACAGATATATTATAATTTACACCTGAAATACCGTATAGAATTTCCATGTATACTCTTTACAAAGGGTTCTGAAATAAGCCATTCAGTAGGGTCCCATTTCAAAAGCCATCTCTATTTCCAAAATATCTGAGTATGTTCCTCACACAAATTTTAACTATGCTATTTTGTTTTTTCCTGATGTTAAGCATTAACATTATTTCCATTCTTTTCTCCTGTTAAACCCAATTCTCTGATACAACCTTAAGCTATGGTTTCATTACCACTGCATCAAATATTTAGTAATGTCAACACATGTATTTGTTTGGAACTTATATTCCAGCAGATGTTTACATAAACATGATTAAGTAATTATTTGAAAAGCCAATTATACAACGAGACATAAAAAACGGTGGCAGTTAACTTTAATACAGAGTTCAGAGTAGCAGCCGTTTTAGCCTGTATTCGCAAAAACAAAAGGAGTATTTGTGGCACCTTAGAGACTAACAAAAGCTTATGCTCAAATAAATTTGTTAGTCTCTAAGGTGCCACAAGTACTCCTTTTCTTTTTATAATACAGAGGCGTGCTTTCAAAACAGTTCAAGTTTTAGTATGATTTAAGGTCATTGGCGATCACAGTTTTACAATGGTGAAAGCAATTTTGTAGAAATTTATAATCAGGTTTATGGAATATTTCACCAGAAGCTTCCTCATGCATGTGTGTGTGAAGCAAATGAGGCAGTTGCATTGTAAAGCAATTGGGCTAACAGCAATACAGTCCTCGTCACAATAAGACAACCTCATCCGGAACCACTTTCTTATCACAGAGAAACAAGTATATCAGAATACTGGACAATCTATAACCTGCATGCTGACTAATTTAATGATTTAGTATACCACATGAACTAGCATTTGAATCTACAATACTCTGCAATTAGCTACCTAGAGAACAGGCAGGCTTCAAAAAGTGCAGCTAAACCCACTTGCAATAAGACATATGTCTAAGAATTCAGGTATTATGGAATGCACCCCAGATTGCCTGTGCAAGCATGTAGGATGCAATTTTCAAAAGCACCTGAACGACTTAAGAGTACAAATCCCACTGACTTTCATTGGGACTTATGCTCCTCAATCTTCAGAGAACTTTGAAAGTCCCCCCCTTAATACATTGACTTCTACTTATTACAGTTGCTCTGTTTTTTTTAATTCATATGCAATCACTTGACATATCCGACAGAGCAAGAAGTTCTTTAATATTCGACATTGGTGAGGCCTCATCTGGAGTACTGTGTCCAGTTTTGGGCCCCACACTTCAAGAAGGATGTGGAAAAATTAGAAAGCGTCCAGCCAAGGGCAACAAAAATGATTAGGGGACTGGAACACAACTTATGAGGAGAGGCTGCAGGAACTGGGATTGTTTAGTCTGCAGAAGAGAAGAATGAGGGGGGATTTGATAGCTGCTTTCAACTACCTGAAAGGAGGTTCCAAAGAGAATGGATCTAGACTGTTCTCAGTGGTAGCAGATGACAGAACGAGGAGTAATGATCTCAAGTTGCAGTGGGGGAGGTTTAGGTTGGATATTAGGAAAAACGTTTTCACTAGGAGGGTGGTGAAGCGCTGGAATGCGTTACCTAGGGAGGTGGTGGAATCTCCTTCCTTTGAGATTTTTAAGGTCAGGCTTGACAAAGCCCTGGCTGGGATGATTTAGTTGGGGATTGGTCCTGCTTTGAGCAGGGGGTTGGACTAGGTGATCTCCTGAGGTCCCTTCCAACCCTGATATTCTATGATATAAAGTTTATAAACCCATTACACTTATCAATAAAAGCAGGTTAATCTTTAATTCATATGCAACAGTATTTGTCTCATTCAATAGGTTTTACAGTTCAACATGGCAGAAACAGGCTATCCCATTCAGATCCTGTAAGTAAGAAAAAGTTTCTTGAAACAACATACTCATTTCCCTGTCTCATTTGGAGCCTTGTTTATGAGTGCAAGATTCTTGTCGATAGAAACAACAAAGTGAAAGGCACCTGGATGGGTTTTAAGGTGTCACACAGTGTAAAAAGTCATCTATACTGCATGCCTAACAGTTTGGATTCCTTAAACAATCTTTTAACAGCCAATCTCTGCAGCGGGCAAGTGTTAAAAAAACAGACTTGCTAATGCTACAAATTATGCATGTGCGCTACAATGCATGCCTGCTATGTCTGCACACCAAGAAAACTGCGTCAGTGCTATATAAATTTGCTGCAAAAAAGGACAAGGAGTGAATATTCCTACGACTTGCAGTCCATGGGCTATTCATTATCTACAGAGCTACATTCACCAGTCTTCGTAATCCTCCTGGCTACCTGAAACTCGTTCCAGAATTTTTGGGTTGCCAGAAATTTTCTAATCAGCTAACCTCACAAGCACCTCACAGGACCCTACGCGACTGTTCCACATCTGCCTTTGTGGGCTACCTCTCACATAAATTCAACAGTAATTAAATTTGCAGACAAAATCAAAAACCAGAGGAACTAGGACTAGAGATGGACTGAACCAAACCGCAGAGCAACCAGGTGCTACTAGAGCAACTGAGGCCACAAGCAACAAAGGGGACCGAGTCAGTCCTAATAAATGTGAAGCTGAACATCCAAGAAATGAACAGCACAGATACAGAACGGGAGAGATCTAATCAACCAGACCTACTCATTGCACTGGAGCCTGGTTATTTCCATCATTCCTTTAATAGCATCCTATTACTTTTCCCAACATAAACAGGTGCCTCTAGTTGCCATAGGGAAGATACAAAATTAAGATGGAGATGCTTGAAGAGAGACTAAGAATTGTCATCTTCAGTAGCGAGGCACAAGATGGAAGTTTGGGAGCCACTACCCTAGACCAAAGATACCACAAACACACAAAAACTTGTATGCTGCTTTTGGGGATGGCAGGGCCTAAAGAAAATCCTGTAGACATAGGAAAGACAGACAAGAACTCGGTGAATTTTTCCCCACAGCCTTCCCATTTACTGCTTGTATTCTACAAGAGTGACACTATTACAGCAAATAAGCGTCTGCTCCGGAATAGCTGGTGGGGGAGCAAAGAAAAAAAATCTCTATGGAAAAATGTTGAGACTGACCGCAAGCTGTGATGTAACCAGGGAGAGCAGGTACTGTCTCATAAACATCATTCCTG